TGTCTGGCACCAAGTCCCTCAGCCCAGCCCACTCCCTTGCTTTGTTGATGAAATAGAGGCGGGTCCAGTTCATTTCGTTTGGGATCAAGGTATGCTCTTCTGACCACCGGTCATATCGAGCTTTTGCTCTGAGCCAATTCACCCGATATACTTTGATTTGTCTGGTTTCAATTCATGTAGAGTAATAAAAGTGACTGGATCTGACCTTGTTCCATGTATGTTGAACCCGACGAATCATCAGCCACAGCCATATTCCAGAACCATGGCAGAGCAATATTTCTTTGACCCCGGGCGTTGCCATCGTATACCGTAGTTAGTGCCCTTGTATCTTTTTTCCCTATCGGCTTGTATCGGTCACGAGTGCCCTGAGGAGCATTGAGCTGATTAAGAGCCCATCGAGCTTGGTTGTATGCCCGGAGAGCACTTTTCATATCGCGATCCGATCCTTGTACAGCATCGTAAGCCCGAGTTACACGTTTTTTCGATTTCTCGGCTCGAATTCTCTTCCAATAAAGGAATGACTTGTAACCGATGGCTTCCCGTAAACGCTTCAGAGCGTTATTTGCCTGGGCCACTCTCAATTCTATCTCTACGCACCGGGCTTCTCCCAGTGATGTAGGGAGGAGGGCTGCTTGAAATGAGGATGGTAAGAGGATTTGTTGATGTTCGGCCGATCCATATCCCTGATCAGGCAAACTGGGTATGCTCGGTGCTGGGGTTTCCTCTTCATCACAATCACTCCAGTCATCGTCATCCACAATATCCTCCGAGAGCGGTGGATCATGAATAGTTCCTTCATTAATTTCCAAGTTGGGAAAATGGCCTTGACCGGCCTCGGAAAACTCTTCAAGTCGCTTGGACAGCTTCTCTCGACATTTCATTATCTCCAGCTTCTGATCGGCACTTGGACGACTGCCTTGAGCCTTCACAAAGGCGGCCAATTCGGCTCTGGATTGTTCAATGTTTGAATCTAGCAATATTTGACTTTACTCACTGGGCTTCCTGAATTTTGATACTGGTGTTTACCCATCCAGTTAACCCCGGCTTGACCTTGCCTGCCTGTTCTTTAGTCATAAGTTTTAGCCGAATGCCCCTTTCGGTCTCGGCTGATTGAATGATTTTACAGCTGGCCTTTGTGATGGAAAACTTGGTCCTTACCTTCCTTGACCTTGACGTAATAGATGTCCATGGCGGAAAGGTCCTTTGCCTGATTCAAATTTGCCGTTTTGATCTGTTGCTCCCATTCTTGAATCTGTTCCTTACTTGCTGAGGCACTTAATTCTTCAAGAGCCTGGAAGCTCTCAGAGAGCCCGAGTTTTGCTCGCTTCCACTTCTTGCAAAGGCTACTCACTTGACGTTTATTAGCTTAGAAGCAATGTAAAAGCAGTTGAAAATAGATACCCATATTGATCATTTTTTTCCAGTTATTATCCAGCATGTGAGCATCCAACACCTCCGATCTATGGGCCAAAGTCATTGTCCGGGTGGTGCGACCGACCTCGTTGAGAACAGCCCACAAAGTCTCCAATATCTCTCCATCTGTTTGACCGGCCCCGGGGATGAATGTTGGGGCAAATCGTGGAAAGCATATTTCTTGATGGCCATGGACATGGAATAAGCCGATCCCGGCTACCAATAACAAGTCTGGTCTGATCCAGAGGTGTTTCGCACCACGTTTTATCCGAGCCATCAAATTCACCATATACTGGCAGTTGATGTCATAGACAAAAATAACCCTTTTTTCTTCACCGGTCATGGTATTCTTCAGAGCCTGGCACAAGGCAAG